CCCGCTGCCGCAGGGCCCCGCCAGCAGAAGTCTGGCTGTAGGTTAGGCATGGAGCCACGGGGATCTGCCTCGCTGGTATCCCCGGCTTCCCCCAAATCCGTAGTGAGCGCCCTGTTCCTGTTTTCAGCCTCCAGCGTGCTGCTTTTTATCTATATCCAGCCGTTCGGATGGCTCGGGATTTTGCTGGAAAGACAAACTACCACATATGCAATTAAATGAGAACTCCCCCAGTGTAGTACGGTAAGCTGGTAGGCCTCGGTGTCGTGAAGAGCTTGAAGTCAGTGAAGCAAGAGGCTTGGCTGACGGTGGGAAGGGGTGTGCAAACTGAAAACGCCAGGTCTTCTGCCTTTTCTGAAAGGCAAAAGCTTCCCCACGTTCATGCTTCAAAGCCAGAGTGTTTGATGAAAGCCCTGAAGTCTCATAGTCATTCTCAGGCTGCTGTGCCAAGATTTCCTAAATTTGCTTTCATGTCTTTCCTTGTGCAATGATTTGAAAGCGATACAGAACTGTAAGGGCTTACCGGACTCTTTCTTAAAACTGTATCGAGAGCTCAGAAATATTTGAGGGAGATTCTAAATACGGAGATGTGTACAGATTTAAATCTTGGTCTAAAGAGGTGATTAAACCCTTGTTTTAAAGTGAGGTAACATCGGGGTAATGAAACTGCTGAATCTGAAGCACAGGTACAGAAGAGCACGAGCGCCTCGCTGGGCAAGCGTCTGGTGTCTGTGGAAGTTGGGGAGGGCAAAAGGCTGTGGATGATAGTGAATCTTGTGACTTTGGGGACCTGGAGGAAGACAACCAGAGATGAGTAAGTTTGTGTCATCTGGAAGAAATACTGAAAACATAAATCGCCTTGCAGATTTTGTTCTAGCCCAAGTCCGCAGGCCGCTGCTGTCCCTGGGGTCTCGGTTTGACGGTGCGTCAGCCTGGACGAAAATGCTAGCTTGAGAAATTCCCAATCTCTTCCGTCTTAATCCTAGCCACCTATTCCTGTCTTCACACCCAAGTTGCTGCTCCTCAGTCCTGTTACAGCTGTGGGGTTGTGCTGTAAATGGGATCACTGAAATCATCCAGGTTAAAAATAACGCTCGGGGGGAGGGGAGTAGTGGCTTTTTAAGCCAGCATTGCTGCTGAGGAGAGAGTAGTATTGAGCAGCAGCCTTGGCAACTTAGTTTAAATTCAGGAATAATGAGGATTTGGGGGCTTCTTGTGGAGGTGGTAGTTGGTTTGCAGATTTTAGGCCTGTTTAGTTAGTTAGTATTGTTTGCTGTTCAGGGGATTGCTCAATGAATTCCTGGAGCAACAGATACCACCTGACAATGCAAAACCCTGGACTTTCCTACCAGCTGAGGGCATGTGTTAAGGAAGAACACTCATCTGGCAGGTTCAGGGTTCTAAAAAAACTCTTGTTCACATCATGCTGAGCTGATCTGATGTTCCCACAGTAGAGAGAATTAAAAAAATACAGGGCGAGGTTTTTAAAACATATCTAAAGTATATATCTTCATTTTAAAATAACTTTTAACAACCGTAGACCGAAGAATCATGAGGCTACATCCCAGCTGCGTGCAAGCAAGTGCAGGAGAGGTGCAGGAAGGCGTATGGGGTGAGTGTTCGCACGCTTGTCTCGAGTTAGAAATCTGGAGAAGTTTGCTGTGGCTGCCGGTGTCCAAAGCACAGTAAAGGCACATTCCAGAAAATTGGAGCGTAACTATTCTGCACCTTAATGGAGAGAACAACCAGCTCGCTTACAGCGCTGTGTGGACAGGATATGTTTTGTACGAGGGAATGGCTTACTTAAGAATATGCTAACATTTACTAGTTATTTGTTATTGAGCTGGGATCGAATCTAGACAATAAAAAAAAAATCATTTACGTGCTTTCGGATCTAAGGTTCAATTAAGGACCTGTTGGCCATTTCTGCTAGCACCTTGCAATAAGGTGGAGCTGAGCTCGGCAGAGCCATTCCATTTTCAGCATTGGCATGCGTACAGTCGTCGAGGTAAAAGTGATTTTATGTTAAGACAGTTCGAATTTTCCAGATTTTGGGCAGGGAAATACATACGCTGCCTCCTCTGAAGATCCAGGTATCATTTTTCATAACCAATCAAGAATAACTATTAGTCCCTCTGCTCCATTCCAGTATGATAATGGCTGGACAAGCAATAATCCACATCAAGTACTTAAACCAGTGATGCTTTCTGACCTGCAGGGTGAGTACCGAAACTTTGACACCAGAATCAATCGTGATTAATCACAAAATCAGGAAAACTTTTCATTGCGTATGTTGAAAGTGTGTGTTTGCTTTGTTATTTTGCATCTTTAATAGCAAACCAGAATTAGTGAAGGCTGTGATATTTAGTCAAGATACTACACATAAACGCTCAATCAGTCAGTTTGTGTTTCTCACTCACAGCCATTGAACAGGATTTGGCAGCCCTCTGTGTAGCATTCCGGTAAGTCTCTCGACTTGAGCACCAAGCCCTAAAGAAATGTTAAATAACCTTCCAGTCTTGGCTTTGGGGCAGGACACTTGTGTTGGCTTTTGTATGTATAAATAACTTAACGAGACATTTTGTCTTTATGCCTCAATAATAAATGTTATACTTGCATGGCTCCTTCAAGTAAGCTTCAGAGGATAAAGCCTTTTATGATTCAAAAGATAAGGTTGTTGCCTCAGTGTCAGCAGTGACCAGGTTGATTTCAAAGCCTTAAAAAAAAAAAAAAAAAAAAAGATACATGTTTGTAGTTTGTTGTGGCACTTAGGGTTTTCAGGTTAGGGAATCGGCCCTCTGTCTACTGCCTGTTGGTTGTTGATAATGGAACGATACTGAAATCTGTATCTTGATAGTTTAATTTCGTAGCCTTTTGAAGCTGCGCTTGTTAAGTATCTGGTAAGCTATATATCAAGTTCTGTCCAGTTACTCGAGATTTTTAAATAATCTAATTTGTGGTCATATGGATATTTTTGAAGTCTGTAGAATTGTGTAACAATTATATAAACTGACAGTACATCATTGCCATTTATCACAGTTAAAACCCCAGAAATCCTTAAATGAACTATTTCACGAGGAACACTTATCACAGCTCGGGCAAAACGTGGCTGTGGGAGAGTCGGACACTGCGTGTCGGTAGCACATCTGGAGCTGAAAGAGTCGCCTGCTCGCAATCCTGTGGTCGCTCTGCCGGTTGTGTCATCTTTTAGCATTTTAAACTGTTGATTTGTTGGGTGTGTGGGGATGTTTCTGAATGAGCACAATTAAGGGTTTGGGTTTGGTTTTTTTTTTTTTTTTTGTGGAAATAGTTCATCTACTTTATTCATCTGTTAGCTTGAGATTTAATTATTATAACCCTGATTTTCAGGGTGTAGTTATCAGTGCAGTGCACTCATATTACTCAGTGTCTAGGTCAACTTTTTTCCATTCTGCTTTTGACTCCTGGGAGGCCTAACCAGGGCTGGAACAAAGAAGGGATGTGTGGCCGTTCTGTTCTTCAGCATCGGGCTGAAAAGGCAAACATGAGTAACTAGCAACAGGGACAAACATCTGGCTCCCAAAGTTCAACTGTTGTTTTAAGCTTCTAAATGGAAGTTCTTAACACTGTCATGGCTCCAAACGACCACCTGTCCGGCGCAGGGTGAGCGGTGCGGAGCTTCAGGAAGGTGCATGGTTGTCTTTGAACTTCCTGGTATTTACCTGTATAGAAACTGCCTTCTTTGGAGGGTGTTGTGTGGTGATTCATTTCTTTTATTGGAAGCTACAGCGAGGTGTTTCTGGTTAAAGAATTTACAACCTTAAATATCTTTCCCAGTCCTTTTAATATGTCTTAAGGATACTCTGTTGTATTTAGCAATGTTTAACCTGTATCTGCTGCCGTTTATAGGTTAATTATGCAGTATCTGCTGGACTAAAGAATGTGTAGTCTTCTGATCCTGCTGCATGCCAGTTAAAGATTAATTGTGGGACCCTTGTATGTAAACCTTGGAAAATGAAGCTTAATGGGTGTAGTATTTGTGGTCAGTAGGGGGGGGGGTGTGAAAGTTGCCTAGTATAAATACATGGTGGTGTTCCCAGCATTGTAACTTACATTTCCAGCCCATAAGATCAGATCTGAATTTGCGTGTTAAAGGTACCATGCTGAGTGTTCAAGTCTGGTGCTTCAAAGGCAGGACCTCGGGGCTCTGCGTACTCTTATGCCACCAGCTTCAAAAAGAATGCCTTTGCTCTTCTCCCCCCAGAAAGGTGCCTCTCAGTTCTGTAATTCATAAGGCAAAGATGATTGCATTGATCGTAGTTACAAAGGGATTCACTTGTCTGTGTGCATTTGACGCTTCTGAAGTATGTGTGACTGCTACAGAGGAGTGTAGCTGGATGCTCTTTGGAATGAAGTCAATTCTTCCAGTGGGCCAATTAGCTGTGGCATTGATAATTTTACTACTTGGGTACTATAATTTGCTCAAGATGCAGGTGAATAAAACTACTTACTCCTTTTCTCACTGAAGTTTGAAATTCTTAAAAAGATGCATCCTAGAACAGAGCTGAGGTAATTTTAGTTGCCTATTTTTAGAGAGTAAGATGCTAAAAACATACACGCTTGTGATAATGCTACATTTAGAAAAGGACTCTGAAGCTGAATGACAAGATTTTAATTATCTAGTCTTATGAATGGCTCTAGAGAATTAGACCATAGAAGATGTCTTTTGGTGCACCTCATCCTGTATTTCGGGTAGGCTGGCATTCCACTGAAGCCATTCAAATTCTTGTTTCTGATGTCCTAAAAAGGTTTTCCCTTCAAGTCCTTTCCTGCTCTGATAACGGGTGAAAATAGAAAAGCTTCGCAGCATCTTCAGGTTCTGTTTGGCAGAGTTTTGAAATTGTCTTAATTTTCAAAATTAAATAATTAGCCCTTTTAGCTCTTCTTCCATCAAATTGATGTTACCTTGGAAAACTTTCGGGGGGGGGAATTTAACCTGTTATCTCCCACTGGGTGGGATTTGCCTTCCCAGAAACAAGCGCTGAGCACGAGCGTGGATGTGTAGGGGGTTGGGAAGCGTGTGTCATCTGACTCTAAGGACAGGTTACCCACACAGTTAAAACATCTTGAAAGTCTGCAGTTTTATTGCAGGGCAGACCTGCTTTGTGCTATCTCTGCCGGGCTAATCTCAATAGGTATTTGAACTCTTAATAGAGTTTCGTCAAAAGCAACAGGTTTAAAGTTTTGAAACGTTCCTTCGTTCCAGATAGGGATCTTGGTTCATCTGCTTAAAAGCATGTCAGCCTTATGGCAAAGCTATTTCCGTTGTGGGCATTTGTAGCTTGCTCCTGCCTTGATTGGCCTCTTCTTGTTGAAGAGTAAATTTATTATATTACAGAGCAAGGTGAAGCAGGGTGACGACTTGCGTATGCACAGCTTTGTAATTGGTTATTCCTTACGCAGCGAGATGCTTTTTTGCCTTTTAATATGATTGCATTCATGAAAAGCACTGCATGAGCAAAATATCTGTTTTCCAAAACATGGTATTAGCAGAAGTGTAAAAGCAGTTTCAAGTTATCACTTACAGTAAAACGCATTCATTCATCTTCATGATATACATAGTGTCTGTAAGCGTTAGGCTATAGGTTCTTGTGAGATAAAATTGAGATAAGTTAAGTATGCTGGGTGGTTAATAGTTTTGTTTTTGTTCTTACAGGTGTGTCTGTACTCTTTTTTCATGTGCTCATGCTAGAGCCTGTGTGCCAACATGAAAACTTCCTTTTTCCCCACTGAGTTAAATGATGAGAGCCTCAGAAGTGTGCTGCATAGCACGCTGTCAATATTCACATCTGCCTGCTGAATTTGGCCCTTTGTTTTGGGCGATTTGGAGGGTCAATGTTTTTTAAGCTACTGGTTCACTCAGTCCCTTTAAATGTTTTCTAGTACGTTGCACTCTCTTGTAAAACTGGCTTGATATTTGTAGGAGGTAAGAAAAAAAATAATCTAAAAATAGGTAATTGCCTTTTGAAGGAGCCTCTGACGTTGTCTCCGCTTAAACCTAAACTTTCTTATTTTGCAGGCACAGCGCTACACTGAAAATTCTTCTGTCCTCGGAAGAGGTTGTTTTTTAAAGATCAAGCCTATTGTTAAACCCAGCATTGTCTGCAATTTGGACAGCTCTTTATGCATCTTCAATTCTTAATCCAGGGAGATTTGGATTTGTAGATTGAATAAAGGTCTCTACTAGGCACTTAAAAAAAGCTTTTCTCATTCTGATTTTTCTTGTGAAAGAAGAAGACCTTGAAAAACCCCGAACCTCAAATGAAAATTGTTGGGCTTTGATCTTAGGTTTTGGGAGGGGTTGTAATCATTTAGTTTCACGCACACCAAATTGAAACAAAAAAATAATAGATTTCAGAGTGTAAATCTTTACTAGAAGCATCAAGTCCAACCTGTGTCACTTCAGCTGTTGCGTTTGCTGGTTTTATGCCTTGCAAGCGTGTTGGTTTTAGAATCAGGTGAAGTTTATTAGGTAACGCTGTTTTGGTATTATTACCATAAAGAGGCAGCATGGTGAAAACAACACAGCTCCTCTGCCCTGCTCCGTGTGACGCGCTGCTGCGGGTGACGGACAGGCGGGATTTGGAAAGATTTGCTAATAGTTGCACTTGTCAAAAAGTAATATTTATTATAGAAACAATTCTGTTAATAGCAATAAGCTGTGGACATTTGCTTCAGCAGTGAAGTTGGCGACTGGGGTTAGAAAAAAGCTCCTGAGTTAGGTTTGTCTTGTGTTGACCACCCGCTGTGGGGGTGGCTTGCTTTGGAGTACCTGGTGTTAGCCCTTTGGTTCACAGATTGTTAGACCAGATGGACCGTTCTTATGATGTGGGTACGCCTATGAAGTTATACATTTGAATTTCTTAAGCCTGTCATCACTGACTAGACTTGAATTTGGGGTTTGTGTACACAATGACTAAGGAACCATTTCTCAGTGAGCCTAGGTAGAACAGCTTAAGACTGAGTATCTGCTTCCGTTTACTCATCTTGTGCCGATACCAGCTCCTTTAGGACAGAGCGACCAGCGTCTGCTTCAACTATGACACTTCACAGCTTATTATTTCAGCCTTACTTGTAATAAAGGGATTTACACTCAGGCGCTTGAACAGTGAGCTGGTGTGGACGTGCAGAGCGCTTTGCTGGTTTTGCTACAGGGGCGAAGGAGCTCTTGGTTCATGGGAACCAGTTTCCATCACAGACAAATAAGTCCTGTTGGTTTCTGCTGTGTTCAACCATGGGTAGCTAGAGTGCTGGGGCAGGTTATAATAGTGAAGAACCAAGAAAGGGGTAGAAGTCCTTGTGCTTTAAGGAACATACTGTCTGGGGACGGAAGCAGTTCCTTTGTGCATACGTTAAACTCTAGTCGGCTGTTAGAGAAATTCTTCTCTTTTATTTAAAGAACTGGCGTTGCCTGCTGCTAGAAATTGTATCCCGGACTAGCAGGATTACCAACTTGATCCAGTGTGATGATTCTAGTGGTTTCAGCCATAAGTTTCTAAATAATTCCTAGTTTAATTCCCAAATATTTTACCCCTTTGTAATTAATTGGTATTTCATTTGAATTCCTCTGTATTCAAGCTCTTGCATCCAAATAGAAAGCTGGCACAGTGAGACAGTTTATTACTACGCTGGGAGCTGGCCACTTGTTAAATAAAGGAAAGTGTGTGTAGCCAAGAGCTGGCAGAAGGAAAGCTTTCAGGAAAATGTACAGGCGAATTTCTTGGCAGATGTTTTTAACCTAAGAAGTTCTTACAGTGTTGACAGTTTAGAACACAGTACCGTAGGTTCTATTTCTGATCACCTCTGAAGGATCTAAGTTTGTGTTCAAAGGCTTTTACTATAGTCTCCTGTAGGTCATCTCTAAAAGGGAGCTTGCAGGCTCTCTATCTGTTTTTACTGGTCTTGGGTTGCCAGGCGTGCACAAGGGCCCTATTGTCAAGCTTACATACCAATTTTTAACATGCAGTCCATTCCCTTAAATAATTTACAGCCTTGATAAGTAGGCCTAGATGGCTTGAGCATGATTCAAGTACACATGGTCTGGAACAAATGAGAGCAGTCAGTGGAATATCTTCTTCTCTTTTACCCCTCTTAAACACTAAATTTTATTTCAAATACTTGATGATGGAGGGGTTTTTGGATTAAAGGGAGGTGGGAATGCCCATCTAAGGGAGCTCAAGGGAGTTAGGGAGCACCATTTCTTCTTGATGATCATAAAATTTCTCTTCCAGGTGCAACAGGCAACCAACCAAATTGTGATGAACTGTGCTGACATCGACATTATTACAGCTTCCTATGCGCCAGAAGGAGACGAAGGTAGGATTGCTTTTTGCTGGAGTTTTTACATGTTAATCCATTTCATTTCTGACGTGAGGTGCTGTTGCCGACAGTTAACAACTTTGATTGCAAAACTATGGTAACAGTTTGATAAGCTAACTTACCTTAGAAGCACAAAATTAATTATCTAACTTTCATTCTCTTCGCATCCCTACCATTTGCATCATGTTTTAAAAAGTTAACCTTACGCTTCCATGAGATCTCCATTTACTCTGTCATGCCTGAGTGTCGTAGGCAAAAGGATGTCGGACTGTTTTGACATGATTTATCTTTATACTGGATATCTGTGTAAGAACATGATCTGTACCTAGAGACGCCGCAACATTGACAAAACCTGTGACAAGGGCTTAGATAAGGAGTGCATCAATAATGGCCTGCAGTAGGAAATACTCATTGGGAAGGATTTGAAAAAGTACAGAACATGCTCAACGGACACTTAGCAGGATGTTCCGAGTGGAGAGCAACATGGAAAAAGGTGATTGTGTGGAGGAGACAATGGCTGGGATCCAGTTCAGGGAAGGCTGGAAGTTACTGGAGAAAAGGAAGAAGCAGTACCAGTTTGTAGGACACAGTTATGGTAGTTGACATCTTCCTGATTACATTTTGAAGAGATTTAGCAGACCCAAAAAAAGTTTTAGCAATTGAAGCATGAAATGATCGAGGTGGGGAAAATAAGCTCCTTGAAACAGAGCGATGGTCTAATAGTGTGCAAAGCCTTTCTGGTTTTCTTATGGAGCTGTTGCTGTTTCAAGCATGGTGGCTATTTGGTTGGTCCACTGTGTACGACCGTTTCTCAAGTCCCGCAAGACAACAAAAGGCTCTGCGGAGCTCCCCTTTCTATAAGGAAAATGCCACACTGATGTCATGAAGCACTTCATTAAAACCATGATTGTGAATTAAAGGAAGTATCTTGATGATGGATAGGAGAAAGGTGTTCCTTTGATTAGGTTTAAACTTCTCTAGTATGCTTACGCGACAGCCAGAGGAAGCTGGGGAGAAGGGCTGTGTTTGTCCAAACGCCTAAAGAGGAAAAGAAATCTTTAGTTTTCTGGACTGGATTTGGTAGGGACAACTTCAGTTCGTGTAGTGACGTTACCATATGGCTAAGTGGAATGTCTGCACGGAGCCTTGGCATTTAAATTGGTTTGAATCTTTTTGGCTTTAATATAGTATTAAAGAAACCGGGGGGCTTCTGAAGTGCAGTCGAGAGCAGGCGAGCGGTGCTCGGGTAGATGGGGAACTCTGTCCTCTAAGGAAGTAGCGTTTGGTGGGTGTGTTGTGGAAAAGTAGATCTCACTGCAGGAAGTGCGGTCGCAGCGAGAGAGGGCGGCAGAGAAGAGCATTACCAAAGAGCTTGGAGCCCGGCCACCGAGTTCCGATGGCGAAAGAATAGAGCGCTGTTTCCTACGTGCTTGATTTGGGCTCCCGGGTTGTACCCTGGCGCTCCATTCCTGCGTGCCTTTCACACGCTGCCGTTAGTGATCTTTAGTTGATTGGATGCACTGTGTTGCTAAGCGCTCCTGGAGCTATTTCTTATACCGAGTAATGAGGCGATAACGAGAGTGGTAGTAATAGCAGAGCGCGTATGGAGTCTGTTCCACCCACCGCTGTGCCATAGGCCCGAACCACCTATTAATTTATTATTTTGTCATTGAGAAAATGAAAATAAATGGAAAAGGTACCCCGGAGTAAAGTCTCTTTCTAGTCAACTCAGGAAAAATACCGAAAATAGAGAGGATCTTTATAATAATGTTTTTATCTTCGTTGTTGTCAGAGCTGATTTCCCTCTCGTAGGGTCTGGTTTTCTATTCTTTAACAGTGGTATACTCCTCTTGTAACTTCAAAACATTAATAGCGGACCTTAATGGAGACTTAAAACCAAGTACACTGGCACCAGGTTTCTGTGGTTTGAATTCCTTCGTTCTGATTTTTCAGATAGCCTTGAATGGGGTGTTCTGGACCCACAGGGAAATGAGTCCAGCGCTCTGGCTACAGCCTGGGCACTCGCCTCTCCAACTGGTGTATCATAAATATTTGAGGTGCGGTTTTGTTGCCTGTTTATTCTGATTATACCCAGGCTTCATGGGGTTAAAATATATCTTTCAGTTTGGTAAACTGCCAACTAGTATAATGGCTTTGGAAGTAAAATTGCATGAAGCTGGCAGAGTATTTGCTGGCACCTGTTGATACAGATCAAGTCAGTCTTACTAATGCTGCTATTGTGTACAGCTTTGGGATGGCGATTGTGTAACTGGTCTCAAAAACAGAGTACGAAATACAGTCCAACGAACCAACAGGACTATCAGCCAGATCATTTGGATTCAGTTACTTAGGTGAGCCTTGAACCAATTGCCTATGGTATGTTTGAAAATGAGGGAGAATTCAGTGACGTTCTCTCCTTTAAAGGCTCTAGTGAAGGATCGTTACCTCTTTTGGTTCTGTACCTCAGTGGGGAAGAATTTGTCTCACCCTTGCCTGTAAATGTGAGACAAAAGATAATCGGTCACTTATCTTCTTTCAAGTGTGGTTCTGTTCCCAAAAGCAGCTGTGTGAAAAAGAGCCCTTCTTGTTCAACAGATACCTTTCCCTTGCTTATGGAGGTGATCTGGCGACTTCTGTGCAGCATAGTTTATTCTTTTCCTAATAATTCTTGTTAATCTTGAGTGCCTACTGCACCGTGGCTTGTACAACAGCAGAAATCTTAGCTGGAACTGTGGGCCATGTTTTCCCTCCCCTCCTATTCACTCCCCTAAAGATGGATACAGCAGAGGGTAGAACTTGGTCTTTGGAATTTTAATGCAGATTTGCAGGGAAATCAGATTATTGCCCAGTATTTGACAGGAGGCCGAGGGAGGATCTCCGAAGCTTTAAAGTCTAAAGTAAAAAATTTTGCTGCATAATCCACAGTTGAGTGATAGGGAATACTAAACTAGGAGAGATTGATTGTGCAGTACTTTGGAGGAGAAAAATTCTCTTGTTTCAGCATAAAACTAGTGTGGTTATAATTGGAGGTTGTGGATTTGCCGTTCGTGCCAGGTACGCTGTGATGGAACGAAGCTACTCAAAAGACTGAGTTTTCCATTGCTGAAGTTATGACTGGCTCCTCCCACTAATCATAACGAGCAATTGCTTTTGTTTTTTCCACAAGCTATTGTTTAGCATTTGTAGTCAGATGTTTATAGTGCAGCCTTGGCGTTCAGGTGCACACATGCTGTACTACCTATGTCCAAACGGCCGGCTTCGCTCAGCTAAAGAAAGAACTGAAGAGGCATTCCTAAGCAAGTTGGTTCTTCAGTTAAATTTTAGGGGATTGAGTTTCATGCTTACTGAATGCTCAGTAGTTTGAGCTTCCTGTGAATCTCTCTTTCAGGGAGCTGTGAAATTCTGATGGAGTCATAATCAGCGAATTACATGGTCTTTAGCTTGGAAAGCTTTTCAGATTCTGGGGCATCTAAAGCACCTTCTTACATTTAGAGATGCTTGGAGGGTAGCAGTTGGTAATTTCACATAGAAAATTACAAGCACCCATAGCAATGTTTGTTTAGCGGAAATAATCGAGTGAACTTTGATTTGTACTTCAACCTTTAGAAGGTTTTAAGGCCAGAACTCATTATTTTAGTGTTTTCCTTCCTAGTATGGTGGGGCTGCGCTTGGATGCTAGTGCTAGATGCCGGTTACATCAGAGCCTCAGCTGATGTTTAAAAATGACTACAAAAGATCGCTAGCACTTCTGGAAAGCTGAGCAACGTGACCCAAGTGCGGTGCTTTCCCTCGGCCTGGGAGCATTGATCGTGATGGTCGTAAGGCAGTCTGAAATCATGCTGCTGTGGAAGGGGGAACAACGCTCGTCCTCGCTCCCTCCCTTCTGTTGGCCTTCATGTTTGTGCTGTTGAGCAGCCGTGTGGATCAGGAAACTGCGCTGGCTGAAAACTGCCTCTACAAGGGAAAAAATAAAAAAGGCAGCTTGGAGACAGATCATCTTCCTCATCCTGGTGCTTCTGTGTGAATGCCAGTGGAAGGAAGGGAATGGGAACATGCAGCTGGGGCCAGGTGGGAAAAATGAGACTACTGTCTCTGCCCGTAGCAGACTAGATCTGTTTAAGCCGGTTGTGAAACCTTTATTTGCTAGAGAAGCTCATCTTCATCCTTCCTTCTGGAGAGGACTTGATGTGACAGAATTTTTAATGGTAGGTTTCTTGAGGAGGCCTGGGCTGCGTTGGCACGGACAGTTTGGGAATATCCGATAGGTGAGAATACTTCTGACTCCTTTATGGGATTTTACAACCGCTGGTTTGAAACACGTGAAAAGATGTGAAAGGGCTTGAAAGCATTAGTTTTCTCAGGAATTGCAGCGGCGTAGTTCGGCGGCTAATGCGGAGAGAGGACAGCGGATGCTATGTCAACATGTAGGTGTTTTAAGCTAACGTATTTAATTTGCAGATAGAGTAGGCAGAGTGCACACAGCCACTGCAGCTCAGTTGATGAATGCGAGTTCATTAAGCCACCATACCTTAATTGTTTATGACTTCTCCATGCTACGGAATGAGGGCTGCTTGAAAAAATTCCATCTCTTGCACTTGGCTTTGTCTTCGCTTTGAAATACGTGCACACTTGACATTGTTTAAAGCCTTTGGCTAGGAGTCACGTTTATTAGCACGTAATACAGAAATTGGGATCATTAATTGATGTACCCATCTGGTTACTGTGCAGTTTCAGGGAGTACTCTGTAGCAGGACTGTAATTTATTTAAAATGTATTTAAAATGCTATTGTCAGATTTGATATGTGCTGCTCTGAGTTTGGGAGGGTTGCTAGATCTGATTTTTATGCATTTTTTCCAAAGACACGGAGCACTAGCAGCTTTTTATTTTCTCATGCGACTTGGTCCAGACTGTGTACTAATGTGCTAGTGATTAACTTGCAACCTTGCAGTGCCAAACTCTCCAAAGTTAGTAAGCTGCCAAAATCGTGTTATTCTCTTCAGGAGCTTTTGTATTCACCACTGTTAGGAATTCAGACAGCCTTTTACTGCAATTACATCTTTGTTATAAGCAGTTCTCTTAAACTCTAACAAAAAGTATTGTTGATGGTTTTCCATGGTTCTTTTGCTCTGGATTAAATTATTGGCACCGAAAAGTTTGGGGGGAAAAAAAAAAAGTAACTTTGAATCTTTCATTTCTATTCTGCTGTTTTGGAAATTGATACGTAAGAAGCTGCTTTGAGAATTACAACAAAATTGCTGGAGCTGAGTGTGGAAAGACACTTTTCTAGACACCAGCTCCCCAGTGAGCACACGTCTCGTGAAACTGGGAATGAAGTCTTACCTTTTGTTTGAGGTGCACTCTTGCCGTTGCTTTTAGGTGTTTGTCAGGGGCTGGTTGTCACGGCGAGGGGGGCAGTCCCGGGATATTGCAAGAGTCTTGGCCTCTTTCCGCGGAGATTTTGTGATGGGTCTGTGCTGGGAGTGCACAGCATCGCTGGTGAGATGGCTGCTTCCAGCCTATTTAAACTATACCCTGTTTGAACATTGTTTCTAAACTCAGGGTAATGGGGATCTCACACTGTAAGATTAAGGTTGAGAAGCTCTTTGAAACAAGGTTGCTTTCTCCAATGTGTTAATGTGCTTTCCCAGGCTGTTGCAGGGGGAAAAAACAAACCCTGAGGGTCTTCACCACTGTCTAGCACTGGTGATGTTTACCCGTCTCTTTCCTATAGCTTTCCTAGTACAGGTTAAAAAGGTTATAAAGTAATGGAGCTACAAACTCAAACACACTTAGGAAGACTTCAAATCTGGGAGAGGAGGAGGGAGAAATGTAATATTCATTGTCAACTTTTGGCAGGAGATCTGCATAATACGCATTCTTTTGTGTTTCTCAGTTTCAGTAGGTTAGAACTATGATCCTGAAGTCATGGTATTGTTTGTCTTTGGTATCAGATTGTTTCCATTAGAAGCTGTAAAAAGACACAAACGTTTTTGGTTTGCTGTGATCATTTTAAAATACATGGGGGGGAAGTGTTTCTGCATTCTTGTACTGATCTTTATCAGACATTTCTCAGGTTTTCATTTAGCCTCTGACCACAGGCTAACAGCTCAGCATTTGCAGGTTGTCCAGCAGCAGGATTCCTCCCAGGCAGGCCAGCATAAATTTCCGACAGGTATTCAGCCCATCCTTCCCTCTGACCGAGGTCACTAACACGCTATCGCAGAACAACAGGTTTGTTGTCTGTTGGACACTAAAGATAGCTGGGGTCAAAATTCACTGGATCTAAACGATGTAGTCAGCAATCGGCTCCCCTCGCTGTTGCTTGGAAGCCTACTTTCCAGACTAGTGTTATACATTAGCATTCTTCCCCTGAAAATCTCTCCAACTCTCTTATAACACCTCCTTTTCTGCCTCAGCATTCCGCAGAGTTATAAGAAGAAAAGCCAAACCTTTACTTTTCGTTGCTCGTTGCCCAACGCTTGCTGGCGTTCTGATGTCCTTGGCATGTATTCTGTTTAAATGGTCTGTCTCATCCCTCTTACTGTTGGTTTTAAAAATCTTGGAACCCCTCAGTACAGGCTAGTAGTCTAAAGTTCCTCTACTTGAATTTGTTTCTGTACCTCTTTTTTTTTTTTCTACAGCTAGAATCTTTTATTTAAAGCATCTATGTATTACATACCCTAGTGTGGTGCTTAACTCTGATTAAACGCTGAGCAGAGCACTGTGAAACCAGTAGTTAAGACTAATGCATTCACGCAGTTTCTGCGTTTGTGTTCTCTGTGAGCAGGGGTTGGTATTAACTCTGACTTAAAGCCAAAATCATACTATTCCGGAATAAATAGCACTTTAAATCGTACAAAAATAAAAACATGTTTCCAGTTGCTTTTGTCACATCTGGGATGACGTAGCTGAACATCTTGCGAGTGTGCTTAGGCTGCCGCTGAAACCGAATACCTGGGTTCTTGTGGTGATTCTTGAGCGTGGCAGACAGGTTGTTCTGTAAATTAAATTGTTGTTTCAAACAAGCTTTGGCAGTCAGAATTCCACGGAATGAAGAAGTCAATGTAGCGGTACATTTTTCTTTTAGGATGTTTACCTATGTATCAGCACTTTCCAGTATTCTTTTTGTCCTTTTTTCTATGACTGTTGGAAATCACTATTTCCGTAGATAACTGAAGCAATTTACTGAATTTTTCTTCCTAGGTTGATTTTTGAAAGTACCTGGGAAGGTTGCTAGGCCCTTGCTAGCACTGCAGTATCCTAGGTGTGTGCTTTCACTTCGATCCGAGTGATGTAAGTGGGATGGGACAGGCAGCTTGTACTGGGAACGCTATTACTTTAAACTGGACAGGCTGGAGAGGTGGGCCTGTGTGAACCTCATGAGGTTCAACAAGGCCAAGGGCAAGGTCCTGCCCCTGGCTCGGGGCAACCCCCGGTATCAATACCAGCTGGGGGAAGAAAGGATCAAGAGCAGCCCTGCCCAGAGGGACTTGGGGGTGCTGGTGGATGAAAAGCTGGCCATGAGCTGGCAATGTGCGCTGGCAGCCCAGAAGGCCAACCGTACTCTGGGCTGCATCGGGAGAAGC